AAGTGACTCCTATTCAATTCTGTCTCCCGCAACACTGGCAGTGTTGCTGACCCTGTTATCTGCAATGTTTGTTTATTTAAAATGTTAATCTGCTCTCATTTTCTCTTGTTGCTCACCCCGACCTCCCAGCTGACAAGACTTTCTGTGAGATGGTGAAATCAAACAAGCTCTGTGAAAAGAAGCTGTTTGTGCAGTTCTGCTGTCAGACTTGTCTTATGGCCGGGTAAAGTTCAGCGGCTGCATCCATCCAGGACTTCCACTGACTGCCAGCCCAGTTTTGCCAAATGTTTAGGACAAAAGTTTATTTTTTCAGCTTTGGGAGACTTTACATGGTGCTGTCAAGCATTCGCTCGTAAGTTTGATAGCTTTAATATCACTGTCGGCGCGTTTCTATAGCAATATGTTAAGCAGAGATTGGAGCGTACCCTGAGTGATCAAGGCCTGGAAGCAGCAGACAAGTGGTGATATTAACACTCTCAAACACTCCTGGTGAGCCGGGACCAATGCATGATCCATGTACACACACTTGGTTCTTCGCAGAAATCCTACTGCTCCGCCCGCTCCCAGCGGCCGGCGGGAGCCCTCGCCACGAGGGATGCAGGACTTCACACACACCTGCGAGGAAAGAGCCGATTCTGGCTCATTTTTGGTACCCTTTTGTGCCAGGTGCCAGCTGAGCTAACCCTGCACTGCCAGCGCCGTGCTCTGTACATAGGTAAAACGATGAACCAGGCGGCTCCAGAGAGGGCCCACAGCCCCCTCGGGCGCTCCTGTTCGGATTCCGTCGGTCGCTGCTTCCCTCTGGCCGTGGCAATAACTGGAGGTTTGAGGACCAAAGGCAGAGCTGCCCCATGGGGCTCTGCAGGTGTGTCAGCCCAGCGGGGCTTTGCCCTGCAGGTAACTGCAGCCAGGCAAAACCCGTGTGCCTACAAGGAGTCGTAGGGTTTTTGGGGGGGGGGTTGTCCACATGGACCAGCCTTACCATGAAATGTATTTCCCTCCTGGAACTGCTTGTGCATTGCTGATCAAGTCAGTTCTGGAACAAGCTAAATCCTTCCTCTAAACAAGATGTTGTCCCAGTTAATCTTTCTTGGCATTTTGTGTTATGATCCTTCCCCTGTTTCGCTGGGTACACCCCTCTCTCTCTCTCACACAAAATCCTCCTGTTCATGGCAGTGATTTTTCTTGGGCATCTATTTCCCAAATGAGACATTCCAGGGATCCAGCCAGGAAACTTAATTCCACAAAACCCTTCCCTGAAACAAACCTTTTCATGCTCTCTCTTAATAGTAAGTCATGTGGTGTTTATATAATTGTGTTTAAAATATCCTTGGCTATGTTGTTTTACAGATTTTTAAAAAATAACTTATACAATCCTTGTTTTTTTCCTCTGTGGACTATTTTTTATATGGGAGTGGGGTATCTTTTTGTGTCTTATTCCTTCTCCTTTTCTCCTCTCTGACCCTGCAAAGCCACTCTTTGCACGAGACATATGTAAACACTTTCCTACGCTGCATGTTCTGATTTTCATTGTTAATAGTTTTAATGAGTTAAACCTTTTGCTAGTGAAATTGTCACCAGTTCCACACGGAACTGGGATAATCCCTGCTTGGTTTCGGCTGCAACGACACCTGCCCTGCCTGGGCTTGCCCACAAGAGCTCACCTCAGCCAGGTGAGGAGAGAAAGCCACACTGTCTCCAGCCCTCACCTGCCTGGACTAAATCCAAGGAAAGATGGAGCTATGGTGAACTGATCTTTAAGTTAATAAACTATTGATCTCCCCTGACAAATGAATCTGTGCTTTTTCCAAATTCATGAAGTCCTCACTGGAAGCACTGCACGTCCTTACTTTGCTGGACAAAGCAGCTCCCCTGGCTGGAGCACCTGTGGGAGACATGCTCAGGAACAGATGAGCTGCATCTGCAAAAACCTCGCTATTGTTGTTGCAAAGGTCTTTTACCTAGAGAAGAAACTCAAATCCAGAATACCACCCTGTGCCTGCCCTGTGCCAGGCCGGGCTGGTGCACCCAGGGCCATCTTACTGGGGTTTGGGGCCGTGCTGGGGTGGGTGTATTCTGCAGTGTGGATGAGCTGGCAGAAAAACTTGCTCCCCTTCCCCACTCATACAAGGAGCATCCCGAGCTCTCAGTTCCCCACTGCAGCTCCCAGCAGCTGTTCCTTGTTGGCTGTCTGGGAAAGAGAGGAGCTGCTGCTGTGGCTGGGGATGCAGGGAGCTGTAGAACCCTTTGTTTGTCGTGTTGGTTTTGCAACAACCATGGGCCAAGTGCCCAGGGTAGTGCCTGGAAATCTGGAACTGAGCTTTTTAAGTGGGGGGAAAAATAAAAGAAATTGAGCCCTCCTACAAGGGAAGATGCTTTCTCAGGGTTGTGCAGCTGTGGGCTCCTGCATTTTGTTGGTCTTCACATTCATCAGATGATAAATGTGAATTAATCACATACAGTGATTCCTTTTGCTGCAGGATTTCCCTTTCAGTCTCAGGCCAAACCAGAGGTCAGAACTGGGGTGACACACTTCTGGCTTCTGCCCCTTGGGTTGGAAAACACCAAACTTCATTTCTCCTGCTGTGTAAGTGAGAAAACAGGAGCTGTGGATCAGGAGTACTGTGCCAGCCTTCCAGTTCTCTGGCTCACAGCAGCCTGCCTCTAAACACTGCTCCCTGGTATATTTAGATGTACTGAAATGCTACAAAGAAAGGAAAATGCTTACTCTTACATCTTGACATAACTTAAAATACACACTGGGGAAGGCAAGGCAATTTAAGATGACCAGTCCCCAGCAGTTCCAGCTCTGTCCTGCTTTCTGCTGCCTTCCAGCCTGCCAGGGAAAGAAAAACAAATTCTGCACATTGAATTCATGCAACAACATCAGCTTCCAGCGTTTTCCTCAGAAATCATTCTTGTAAAGTAATAAAATTCAGATTATTTCTCCAAGCTGTTGCAATACTTGCTCAGAGCTATTAAATTCTGACTGGTATGCTCAGAGGATCAAAGTGGCTGTGTCTTCAAGATAAATGCATATTTAGGCAATTTATTAAAGCTCATTTCTCTGTTGTCTCTTGGCACCAAAGCCAAATCTATAATAGCTGTTTTCTGGAAAATCTTAGCGCAGCCTGACTCCTCGTTTGCAGTTTGGCCCTGGGGTTGCAGCCACGGCCATCTGCCATTGTGCAGTTGGCAGGTGGGGAGAACAGATCTTAAAAATCATTGCTTTGAGTTTTCACTGCAAAGAAAGGACTGTCGAGAGCTTGTGTGCAGCGTCTGAGACCCAGAATCCATCTGCTCGCAATTACAATTCTATTGTGGCTGTAGAGCTGAAGCAAACAGATGTATTGTGCTGAGGGAGACAGGTCCATGCTTTATTTGGCCTTGTCAGAGGCAGGGCCTGCTTTCCAGGAGGCTAAAAGAGTCTCCTTGTAAGAGCAGCCTGAAATGACTAAAGTCTTTAACGCTGCATGATGCCTGAGTCATGTACAACAGCGCTGCTAATTCTTGGGTTTTTCTTGTGACAGCTCCCTCTTGTTCTTGCTCCCTCCTATGTTATAAAACAAATGCAGCTGTTATAAAAAACCTGACTCTGTGCTTTCCCATAGGGCTTTGATGAGGGAGTTTTGCCAGCAGGGAGCACAGGAACTGCCTGAGCCCAGCTGATCCCTGGCAGGGATCTGCAGTCCTGGACACTGAGCCAGGCCCGGGGTGATGCCCTGAGAAGCTCCCAAAAAGAAAAGCACGAGCCATCCTTGAGCAGTGCCAAGCGTGGCAGCAGTGTTCAGCTTGTTATCACATCCTCTGGGTTCACAGAAATGTCATGGCTCACAAAAAACATCCTCCCCACGATAGCAGCGGCGGCAGAAATCATTTTTCCTCATTCTGCTCTGCGGGCCATGAAGGCCAGGGAAGGATTTCCCCAGAAGCAGCAGCTTGGTGACATTGAGCAGGTTTTGGGGGCCTGGGGGTGTCCCTTACATGTCACTTCCAGTCCCGTCACTGCAGTGTGGCTCACCCGCCAGCTGTGCCTGTCCCAGTGGTGCCAGGCAGTGCCCCAGCCTCAGCAGCCAGAGCCCCCTCAGCTCCCCCAGCGCTACTCCCAGCCCTTCCTTGCTGTTCCCCAAATTCCCAAAGCCAGTTAGGGGGATGTCGTGACGTTTGCGATCACGTTTTGTCTCACAGATAAAGGGTGTGTGGTGCTGCAGCCTGTGGGGTGTTCCCACAGCACCTCAGACCAGGAGTGCACATGGAAGTGACAGGGAAACTGCCCCAAACGCTGCAGGGGGAAGATGTTTATGGGCAAAACAATGTCCAGGAGCAAAGGCTGAGCTGCTGCTGGGATGGATGGAGAGCACCAAGAGCTGTGGCTGCTGCAGAAGGTGCCCTGGGGAGCAGCAGGTGTTTGAACACGGTTCTGTCTGAAGAGGAGCACCAGCCATGGCGTGAAGCGTGCTCCTCCTGCTCTGCCCGGATTTCTGCAGCTAAATCTGCGCCTGGAAACACCAGAAGGTGGGAGGGGACCTCTGGGGACACCTGTGCTGACAGCAAAGCCAAATCCCTCCTGGGCTTGTGAGCCATGGCTTGGGAGTGGGGCTGGGAGCTGGCCCGGGAGGAGCAGAACGCGGGGAGGGGGTGCTGGGGATGTATCAGTCCATGAGGGGAAGGGGAGGCAAGGATGGGGTGCTGGGGGATATATCAGTCCCTGAGGGGAACACAGGCACGGGGTGCTGGGGCTGTACCGGTCCCTGAGGGGAAGGCAGGGATGGGCTGTCGGGGCTGTACCCGTCCCTGAGGGGAAGGCAGGGATGGGCTGTCGGGGCTGTACCCCTCCCTGAGGGGAAGGCAGGGATGGGCTGTCGGGGCCGCACCGGTCCCTGAGGGGAAGGGAAGGCGGGAGGGGCGGGCAGGGGCGGTCTCTGCCGCTCGCTGTCTCGGCGCTCGGCCGCCCGGGCTGCGCGCGCTCGGCGCTCGGCGCTCGGCGCGGCGTACTGCGGCGGCGCGGCGCGGCGGGTCCCGCTCTGTGTGTGTCCCGCTGTGTGTCCCGCTGTGTCCGTCCCGCTGTGTCCGTCCCGCTGTGTCCCGGTCTGTCGCCGTCTGTCGCAATGGTGAAGCTCACGGCGGAGCTGATCGAGCAAGCGGCACAGTACACCAATGCCGTCCGCGACCGGGAGCTGGATCTGCGCGGTGCGCGGGCCCCGCGGGGCGAGAGGGCCGCGCTGGGAAGGGGCTGAGGGCTGCGGGCTGCGGGCCGGGGTAGCGGGCTGGGGGCTGAGGGCTGCGGGCTGCGGGCCGGGGTGGGCGCGGGGCTGTGCTGGGGCCTGGCGGTGCGTCCCGGAGGAGAGGCCGTGACGGGGTTAGGAGGTCCGTGATGGATCTCCCAGTGGGGCCTGGCGCCTTCCGCGGCCGGAGGTGCGGAAGGAGGACGGGGACGCCGCGGGAGGGTGCTGGAGGGGCTGCGGCGGCCGGGGGTGGGGGTGAAGAGCGCCTGGAGAGGCTGCAGCGGCTTCGGGATCTGCGGGGGGTGTGAGGGCGTGAATCACAGAGTGCTAGAACGCTTTAGGATGGAAGGGAACCTAAAGATCATCTCGTGCCAACCACCAGAAGGGGATACTGGAGGGAATGTGGGAGGCATGTGCTGTGGCGGTGAAAGGTGGGTTCGGCTCGGAGGACACGTCCAGGCAGGGAGCTGGGGTTTTGCTGTGGGGGAGGATGAAGGATTCAAAAAGCCATGAGGGCTGTTGGGCTTGAGGAGGAGAGTTTGGTCTGGGAGTGGTGTGGAGCAGAATCAGTCCCGAGGTGTTTTGTCTGAGCCTTATCAGCATCCCGATTTGCCCCCACACACTCTGTTCTGTCTGCTCTGCTGTGGGCACCATCTAATCCCTGCCCTGCGCTCTCTCTCCAGGCTATAAAATCCCTGTCATTGAGAACTTGGGTGCCACTCTGGACCAGTTTGATGCCATCGATTTCTCTGACAACGAGATCCGCAAGCTGGACGGGTTCCCCCTGCTGCGGAGGCTGAAAACGCTCCTCATGAATAACAACAGGATTTGGTAAGGGCTGTGCTTTGGCCTGATGGGACTCTGGGCAGAGGAAAATCCTCTTGGGGGAGAGGAGTGTGTGTGCATCTTTCAGTGCTGGGCAGATGCAGGAGTGTTTGTTTGAGGCAATAAAATCAGCACTGAGGACTGTGTGGGCCCTCTTTCTGATTCAATGCAAAATTCAGTGTTTGTTTCTCAGCCAGGACAAGGAGATGCAGAGTTTGGGGTCTGGCCACATCTTTGGATTTCAGTAATCAGCTCCAGAAAGACATGAGAAAAGGGATACCTGCAAGGGAATGGATTTAAATCTCATTGCACCTAATATTCTTGCAGTGATTTATTGCCAGCTTTATTAGAAAAGTGTTTTGGATGCTCACCCAGACTTCTGCCAGTGTCAGACTGGGTTGTTGAGTTTCTCTGTGTGTTTCCAGCATTGCTAATTCCTGCCCTAAATGAAACCTTTGCTTTTTCTTGTTCTTCAGTCGGATTGGTGAGAACCTGGAGCAGGCTCTGCCCAGCCTCACAGAGCTCATTCTTACCAACAACAACATTGCTGAACTGGTAAGTTGGCATGCAGGATAAAGCTAAACAAGCTTAAAATTTGTGGTTTTCATCTCTCCAATTGACCATTTTCCTGAGAGTGCCATATCCTTTTGGTAATAGTTGGTTCTTTCTCTTTAGAGTAACATCCTGCAGTTTTGGCAGTAGTTAATGGTGTACATGCTTTAATGAACATGATTTGCATCATGTAGTGGAACAGCAGTCACAAAGCTTAGTGGTTTTCCTATTAAAATAATTGCAGTAATTTAATTAATCTCAAAAATATATATTAGTTCAGGAACTTTGTTTTCAAATAGTTGATTTTTTTTTTGCTAAAGGCGCTTAAAATTTCTTGCTGTGCTCCCTTTACCCAGGGTGAACTGGATCCATTATCAAGTATTAAATCATTGACTTACCTGAGGTATGTAACCCCAAAAAGAAAAGCTGCTCTTTCTCTGGTGTTTGAACTTTGCTGCTGGCCTGGCCCTTTGCTTTGGTCTGGAATGCTCTGCTTTTTATGAGCTGATGTGACAGATCCTTTATGTCTAAAAATTTAATTTATAAACTTAATGAGCATCTGGTAATTAATAGCTGAGGTTTTATATTACTGACAGACTGTTTCTAATGAGATGTAACATCTCTAGAAACCAATACACAAGTGCTGAAGTGAGTTTAACCTTTAAAAATCTAAACCCAAGATGTTTAATCTGTTGATAAAAAAAAGTTTAAAATACATGTAAACAAGGACTTTTCAGTAATAATAAAGTGATGTTTCAGTTACTTTTTTGGGGGAGTATTATGATTATTTTGAGGTTGTTCTTAATGTCATCCTTCAGTTAAATCTACTGAATTGCTAAAGTGCAAGTTTTTACTATAATTTCCATAATATCAAAGAACTGTCACTGAACTTATTTCATGATGTTATTTGTTACCTGTTACAGCAGGAAGTGCATTAATGCATTTCAAGTATATTAATATATTTCAATACAAGTGTATTAAAAAAAATTATATTAAGAGCCTCTTTATAACCTTTATTTACTTCACAGCGTTCTAAGGAATCCTGTAACAAATAAGAAACATTACAGATTATATTTAATTCATAAAGTTCCCCAGGTCAGAGTGCTGGATTTTCAAAAAGTGAAGCTCAAAGTAAGTCTGCTTGCTTTTGATTTAGGTATTTGTACTTGGTGGGGTTTTTTTGGTTTGGTTGGGCTTCTTTTTAGGGTTTTCTTTTGGGTTTTTTTGCGGTTTCGGTTTTTTTGGGGTTTTTTTTGCACTTTTGAAAATTCACCACTAACATCAATCTTGTTGCCATAGTTGTAAATTTTATTGAAACTCTGTAAGTGGCTCTACAATGCTCTCATTGTTTTCTTTCATGGTTTCCTTCTGTTAAGGATATTTTAATTTTATTAAAATATTTTTAAAAAGCTGTTTAATTATGTTTAATTAGGTTCTATTGCCTTTGTTTAGTGTTAACTCTTTCTTGTCCCTCTGGTGTTGGTAGGAGACACCTCTAGAGAAAGAAATGAGCAAACACCAGAGCCCTCAGCCCTGGGTGGGGGATGAGTGTGGGAAAGAGCTCTTCATTTTAAGAGCACGAGGTTGATACAACTTTTGAGTGTTTGGGCAGTGTTTATCTGCTTGTTCTTACATCTGGTCTCCATGTACCAATTTCACTGATGAGGATGAGCCAAAGTCTCTTTCTTGGCCAAGACAGAAGCTTTGCAAACTGTGATGTTCTCAAATTAACTTTGTGTGTGTGTGTGTGGTATCGCTGTAGGAGCGACAGGAGGCAGAGAAAATGTTCAAGGGCAAACGGGGTGCACAGCTTGCAAAGGATATTGCCAGGAGAGCAAAAACGTAAGATAAAACAAACAAATTTACACTGGCATCCTCCTTCAGAAACACCACTTCCTTTGGGTGCAGTATCAGGCAGAAAACTGAAATATCAGCTGCTGGCAGGATGCCTCAAAAGCTTTGGGAGCCACACGTGCCTTGTCCAAGTTTTGGATGGTGGTGAATACATCTCAGAAGTATTTCTGAAAGAGTTAACTTAGTCAAGGTGGATTCACTGAAATCAGCAAGCAGGAAACCCTAAATTTATTTTTGTTATTTAACTGCAGAGAGGTAGCCATTATTTAATTTGTGGTTGATGGTGTTTTTCTCCTTGGTGATTGGTTTTGTTTGGCCAAATTATTTTATTTCCCAAAATAAATAAATATGTGTTTATTTTGGGAATAAACTGCAAAATCTGCTGTAGTTAGGAGATGAAATACAAATTAAAGTCTTTAATTAAAGTATTCCATTATATGTTTATTTAGTTTCATTGTTAAGTGGTACATCATCTGTTTTGATCAACCTATTTGGTAATGAGGATTCAGATCACAGGACTTCCAAATTAATGGTTAAATAGGAAAATGTCTTGAACTTATTATTTAGCATTTAAACCTATAAGAGATGGATTTGAGCTTGAGTTTGTGAGTTGAAAGGGATTCAGGTCTGTTACAGTTTTAGAATAAGCAGGTGATCTCCTTAAAGCAGCAGCAGCAGATAGCCTTTTTCTTTTGACTGTTAATATGAATTCCAGTTTAATGTAGGCTTTTCTTTAGGCTGCTGAAATATCAAATTTGACACATGGGAACAGAAACCTCATTTTTAGTTACTCTTTATTTATCCACCCTGCTTTTGTAATGGCAGCAGACCAGCAGAGTATTCAGCAACATCCAAATTTAAGAGCTTTTGTCAACTGCCTGATGAATAAAGTTAAGTTCTGCCTCTGAGCAGATGAAAAGGTGGGGGGGAATGGCTCAGTGAGGACAAGTGGCTGGTGTTTCTGAAGGAGGCAATTCTTCACTGTATCAGTTTGTTAACAAAGATAAGATACTACACTTGATGGAATGAAATGCTTTCAAACCTAGTTTGGAAGCATTTCAAGTTAAGAGAAGCAGCTACTCTTCAAAAAGTGTAACAGGTCTTTTTTTTTTCCTTTTGAAGTTTCAATCCAGGGGCTGGTCTGCCAACAGACAAAAAGAAAACTGGGCCCTCTCCAGGGGATGTGGAGGCAATTAAGGTAAATATGTCAGAAAAGTGGAGGAGAAAAGCTGTCATGGATCCAAACTGAACAAAAGTTTCCTCTGTGCTGTTCAGACAAATAGATCAGTGTATCCTGGCTCTGGTTTAGGTTCATTTTCTGTAAGTTTTCTTCTGACCTATCTGTATTTTGAAAACTTAAATGAAATGTTAACCTGAACTTAAGAGTTCTTCTGAGAGGGGAGGCAATAATTTGTCATTTGTAGAATTTTCTAGGACTAGAATTTAGTAGTCTTTTCCTAGGTGTTCAGTGTCCCTTAACTGGTAGAACTCTGGGTTTTGTGCTGTTCTGAGGTGTGTGAGGATTCACTGAGCTCTGTTTCTCAGGCTGCCATAGCGAACGCCTCGACGCTGGCGGAGGTGGAGCGGCTGAAGGGTTTGCTGCAGGCGGGCCAGATCCCCGGCAGGGAGCGGAAACCAGGTCACTGCTTCTGCTGCTCTTCCTAAGCTGAGCCTCTCTCCCTCCCTTCTGATGCTCTCTGTGATCTCTGCGGGGAGCTGGGCAGACAAAGTGTCAGTTTGTCACCTGTGCAGCACATCCCTAGTGGGTGCGGCTCCAGGCTGTCACCTACCAAACAAGGTGCTCCAAAGTTCATCCCAGTTATTTAACCAAATGAGATGAATTGCAGAGCCTCTCTGGAGCTCTGCCGAGCATCAGTGCCTCAGCAACGAGTCTGGGAGCTCTGAGATAGATCTCAGCTGTAGGCTGGCCATAGCGCCAGTTTCTGTACATGGGGGCTACCTGATTTTCCTTTCTGTAGAGTTTTTAAACGTTCCTGTTATTTCTCTTCTGCTGAGGGGTGGGAAAAGAACAGCAACGTCTGCAGCAGCTGCGCTAAAACTCTGACGTGTCCTTTCAGGCCCATCGGAGGACGGTGAAGAAGAAATGGAAGAGGACACAGTGCCAAACGGATCGTAGCCCGGGCCGTGCCGCGCTCCGGCCCCCCAGGAGCCCTTTCCTGTTCCGTGCCGTGCCGGTGTCCCCGGCGGGGCCATCGCTCCGGTCCTGGCGCATTTCACTGTTCAATAAACGAGCGCTGCCTTTTTCTCCCGGTGCTGCCGCGTCCGCTTCCCGGGCGGGGCGGGCGGGACGGGACGGAAGGCGTTTTGGCGCACCCTGATTGGCTGCTTTGCGCCTGTCCCCTTCTCTCATTGGCCGGCGCAGCTGCACGTCATCTTGGGCACTCTGCCAGCGGCGGCGCGGCGCTTCCTGGCGGCGGCGGACGGGGCGGTGATTGGCGGAGCGGGGCGGGCCCGGACGTGAGGCGGCGGCGGACGGGGCGGTGATTGGCGGAGCGGGGCGGGCCCGGACGTGAGGCGGCGGCGGCGGCGGTGATGGATCTCGGGGACGGCGGCCCCGCGGCCGGGCCCGGGCCGGCGCTGGGCCGGGGCGGCCTGGAGGCGCTGCAGCACACGGGTGAGGGGCCGCGGGCCGGGAGGGAGCGCGGGGCGCGGCGGGGCCGCTCCCCGGCGCGGGTGGGCCCCTTGCGGAGCGGCCCGCGCTCACCCCCGGCCTGTCCCCGTGGCAGTGGGCTCGGTGCTGTCCGGCTATGGCTGGTACGTGCTGCTGGCCGCGGTCGCCGTCTACCTCCTCGTGCAGAAGGTGTCGCGCAGCCTGGCGGCGCGGCCGGGCGGCCGGCCCGGAGCGGCTGAGGCGGCGGAGGGTGAGTGCGGAGCGCTGCGGCGCCTCGGAGCGGTGTTTGT